GAGGCGTGTGTGGGTTAACCTGTGCTGGAGGAGTGGTTCATACTGAGGCCACTCTACTAGTACTTAATGGTGGGTGCCGTGCCAGCGTGGGAGAGAAACACTGGCAATGCCTGAGCAGATGCCCTTGTGCGCCCTTAGGAACCCCAGGGCCCCCCACTAAATAAGCAGGGTTGTGTTCTGAATTTCCCTGAATGACTGAGCAGTGCTGGGTTGACATGAGGCTGAGTCTCGCCTACTTCTCAGGCAATAGTGCATCAGCCGCTGACTGCCCTTGGCTGCCCCTCACCAACCCACCATGGCCCCCCAATTTTATTTTTCATTTTTTCTTTTAGTCACTCAGGTTGGAGGCAATGGGGCTTCTCTTCTGCTGGGGGCCCACATGGGTCCCCCCCTGGCTGTGGCCTTGTAGGGGTACATACAGGTTGTCTGCTGTGCCTGACCAGCTTGCTCCCCTTGCTGAGCCTGGGGCAGCTGGCCTAGGGCATCCTGGGATTGGCTTGGGCGACTGTGTGGGATGGTGAGCAAACCAGGCTGAGGCCGCTGGATTGCCGGGCCTGGACTCCTCAGCATTTTATGTTACGATCTCATGCAAGTGACTTCCCCAATCAACGCACCCATTTCCTGATCTGTGAAAAGGGAATAAGGAAAACCCCTCCTCATAAGGCCTTGGGAGGGGCTTCAAGCAGCCGGCAGTGCCAAGAGCTCATCGCATTCCCAGCAGTCCCTGGGCATGCACGCATTCTCATGCAGAGACTTAAAATGAACAGGCCCTTTCACTCCCCATGAGAAGCACAGGGCAATGAGAGGGTGCTCTTGGCACTCCACAGGTCTGCGATTTGGGGGGTTTGAGAACCCTTGAATGAGACAGCCACAGGCTTGTGGGTCTGGCTTCTTTCTCCCTGAAGGTCAGCAGTCTTGTGTCGATGCAGGCGCACAGAGAGCCATCACGTGATGTGTGGCGAGCGACTGACAGGTCAGAGGACTGCACGTGCTTATGCTTAACATCCATTGACTCCATGTTACCCTCTGAACCCCCAAACTGCAAATGATTATTTCTGATTGACACCATGGAAAATCTACTGCAGTGAACTTACTCATTTCTGTCCACTTTTCCCTGGTGGACTCCTGGGGTCCGTGTACTTAAGGAGTAAGGCGCCGCCAATGATTTGGCCAAGGGATGAACCCAGGGAGGTTTTCAGAATAAATTCTGGTTAATTGGCCCTTGAGTAATCGTCAAAGACCAGGCTCCCCCACTCATGAAACTGGCAGCTCTGGGTGTAAAGCCCACCCCTCGCCTCTCCGGACTAAGTCCCCCGAGACCCTATACTGTGGGAGGGGAGGGTTTGTGGAACCAGGGGAAAGTTTACTTGTCTCTGTGAAAATCGTCTGTCATTACCCCAACTTGAAAGGACTAATTGTCCTTTGGGCTCCAGACTTGGGTTTTGTAGAACTAAAAATTAATGCATTAAATTAATTTTGTGTTCCCTTTGCTCAGGCCGATTAGCACAAATTAAATTTTACACTAATTGGCCAAGGCGGAGAGAACACAATCCAGTGTTTGGGATCACTGCTGTGCGCAGGGTGGGGGCCACAGGTTAGGAGCAGGGGGGTCGGGGGGGGACGGGCGGGGAGGGCAGGGTGGCACGGGCCTGTGCGCGTGCTCTTTGCCAGTGATCACTTCCCACCACCAGAGTTTGTGTGTGCCCACATGCAAATCCAACCCATTTAAAGCTCAGGGCGAGACCAAGATTAGAATTTCTATAACAGTAATTCTTAAACTTTGTGGCATTTAAGCATCACCCCGGTATGTGTTAAAATTCAGATCCTTGGCTCCCGCCTCAGAGCTATGGTCTGGGAGATGAAGATCCTGGAATTTACTTTTTAACTACTTTCCCAGTCTCTAAGGTCAGTGCTCGCCCAAACACTGTAAAGGCAGAGGTGGAAGGACCAACCAAAGGAAGCCCAGCCCAAAGGCTGCCCCAGGGGGACCTGGGTGAGCGCCTCCTGCTGGTCACCACTACTTCGATCTTAGAGCCGTGGGTTCAAGTCCTAGCTCTGGCACTTGCTGTGTGTCTTCCAAATGTTCCCCCTCTGTTTCTATTTACATCCTCATTTTGGCTTTTGCAGTAACTGGTATGGTCCATAAGCTAAGAAACAGACTAGAGGAAGGAAAATTGTGGGGATCATAGAGTATACAGGGCTAGCCTCCTTTTTCTAGCTCAAATTTGTTTGGACTATTTTAAAAAGAGGTTTTGTGTTTTTCTGGTTACTAAAATGGTCAAAAAAATTCTCAGAGCCCTCCCAGGTGGTGCAGCGGGTTCAAGCGCAGCACTATGAAGCTATCCATAGCCACTGCAGCATGAGTTTGATCCCCAGCCAGGAAGGTGACCCACATGGTGTGGCGGACCTCTCCTGACTCCCTGCTGCGTCTCTGGTCAATCCTGTCACCCCACCCCCACACCTTTGGCATGTACCCCAGTTATTGTATGTATGAATAAAAATAAATCTTTAAAAAATATTATCGGCGCTACAGAAATGCATCCAAGGAGCTTGGAATCCCCCGTGAGCCTGCTCTTTCAGGAAAAATAATGCTACCAACCATCTGGGAGTGCCTTTTTCTGTGCAAGTAGAAACAAAAAGCAGAAACATGCCAAACATTCTATTCGGCAACTTTGCTTCCCACCACCCTGTACAATGTGTCTGGGGGATTTTTGTCATGTCAGAACAAATAGATCTACATCTTCCTCCTTTGTGGGGCAGTTGAAGGAGACATACTGAGGCAGCCTGTGAGCTGACAGTATTGATGGAGAGAAGCTGGAAGGCAGTGGGGTTCCACTCTGGAAGCAACACTGAGCTCCCGTCGGATGACAAGCTACAGTCCCCCCCTCCCCACCGCCGGTCGGTGCAGGGGCCTCAGGGGCGCGTGCAGTGTCATGACATCTTCAGAGACCACACTGATGGCATAGAATTGGAATGCTGGTAGCACATGGCTGATTCAGCACACTTGAATTCGATGCCTTTTCCAGCCCCAGAAGGAAGAGACTGCCCCAAGGTCACGTCGTACACTAACCAATTGTCTGAATGTGAGCCTAAATCTGTCTCTCTGTCTCCAGTTTTCTCTCTCGTCCTCTTGACTTTCATCACTGCACTGAACAAGGGGGAACTTCTTACTGTGCAACGGCTCTTCTGTGTAAGGTTGTTGCTAAGCCTCTTGGTCAAAAACAATCCACTGGCAGTACTCTTCTCCTCACTTTTCAGTCTATCCTTGAACTTGAATTATTGTATTTAAAACAACAATATGTTATTGTGAGACCAAAGGGTACCCAGGGACCCCAAACTATCAAAGGGTACATACTCGAAAATGAATTTTGCCATTTGCTTTAAAAAGTCAAACAAAGCAGATTCTTAGTGGGACTAGGATTAGGGTGACATTCCTAATATCAGTTTCCTAATAAATACCCCAGCTACCCATCGCCTCATGGGCAAATGCCCAGCCAAACACTGTTGGCCCAAAGTGTGGCTGCTGAGGCCTAGAGCTGGCTGCAAGTCCAAGGTACCTCCTTCCGATGGGGAACAGTGGGAAAGGGGTGAGGTGGGTCTGGGGCTGACCCTGCCAAGTCAAGTCCAAATCAAGACCCCAGCTCTGTGGTGTCAGTCAAGGACAGCCTTCCCGCGCGTCCCTCACCCATGGATCTCCATGTATCTCTCCTCCGTGTATCTTCCGCCACATCATTTCCCCCTGGCCCACCCCTGGGTGCAAGCCAAAGTGGGAGAAGCAAGAGCCCAGAGCGCCCCTGACTGCTGTGTTAAGTGACCCCACCAGGGGCTCAGCTCCACCCCCAGGTCTCA